CTGTCCGGAGGAATTCGTCTATCCTGTAAGTAATACTTTTTTGAAGTTTTTTATATGCCTTGGTGCTAAAGGAACTTGTACAGATTTCATTCCATATTTCACTTACATTTTTGGTTGTCTAAACAGCTAGCGAGTTCAAAATCAGTGTAAATTGCTTTTTTTGACCTCGTTGTTCTTTTCGATTCTTTTTTACTCATTCTACCTCCAGGAAGTGCGTTTAGAAGTGATTTAGTGTAGTAAAAGTGCTCATATCTCAGAGTATGTTACGACGTCATCGTAGACTTGCTCATGGAGTGATGGAAGACGAAGTTGGACTGGAAAACTATTCTGCCGAGCTAGGTTACTGTCCTCATTGCTGTTCGATGGTGGCTCTTGAGCAAGTTGATGGCCATCGCCTGCTACATTCGATTCATGTGTGAGCTAATGAGCTTTTCAGGAAGCCCTGATTTATTCAGTGTTTTCCAGCCAGCTTGATAACAAAATGAAGCGTCTGAGTGCGAGAAAGGAGAAGAATCGTAAAGCTGTCGAAGTGCTTGAGACATCTTCGAACGACAAATCCGAAAATGGCGAGCCAAAGAAGAAGAAATCTTTTCCATGCGACAAGTGTGGCAAAGTATTTCCACGTGCTTTTGATCTAAAGAGGCACGCAGAAGTTCATGGTAAGTCAAGCATCACTCTAGCATTTTTTGCGTTCTAATATGATCTCAATTTAGTTTTCTAATAAGATTTCAATTAAGTTCTTTTTTCTGAATTTGGCACTTTGTCTTGAACTTGGTCTTGTAAGAATAATACATTTGCTACATTACATTTGAGATTTCAGAACCAACGAAGAAATGGAGCTGCACAATGTGCGAAAAGAAGTATAGCCACAAGAATTGCTTGGATGATCATGTAAAAACTGTACACAGAGATCCTTTAGGCGCTATGGTTACTTGTAAAATTTGCTCACAAGTGTTTGCAAAGGTTTGAATTTTTCAATCTACATTTTACCTTGAGAAGTAACAAATTTTGCTTAGTTTAGCAATCGAACCTCAATCGCCATATAAAAATGCAACATCCAATTGGTGTTACTAAAGCTGTTCTTGATTGTCCGGACTGCAGCTGTGTTTTTTCCAGTCGCAGAACACTCACCAGACATCGTAGAGAGGCCCATGGAGCAGGTGCGAACGTTGCTTCGATGTTTCAGTCACTGTAATAATTTTCGAAGTTTTTGTTTCAGAGGTGATATCTGCTTACTACTGCCGTGTATGCAATCGTTGTTTTCCTAAAATCTCGCTATTGCGACGGCACAATCTTGTGCACGATCCAAGCGAGGGCTCGAAACCATATCAATGCAGTCGTTGTTTTAAGAGGTTATTTAACTTTTTTTCCATATTTTTTCTTCATTTTTGTTTTTGGGTAGGGTACCTTTCATAGCTAGTTTTGGAATATTCGATTTCTGGCAAGGTATTCATCCAGGTTCAATCTGAAATCCACGCTGAAGCTACACATGGACATACACGCTCGCAAAGACATCGACGATCCTGTCCTAACAAATCCGAAATGTCCTATCTGCATGAAGCATGTGAGTATAAGGGGTTAGAAGACAAAGATTCTAGTATTCCCATCTCTATGTACTAAAAACTATTTTGTTTACCTTCATTGAGCTTAAAGGCAGTGGACAGGCATGGACCCTTCTCGGATTGGAGTTAGGTAGTAGACCCTCAAGTACGCGGTAGCCCAGACACCATCTCCCAAATCATGCGCTAAGTC